GAAACCGAAGTGAATCAAAAGTAGTATGATTCACACACTAAAATGATACAAGGGCACCATTTGGGAGAGTTCAGAGTGTGCGATGTCACCCTTTACTTTTAAAATAGTTCTAATTGTTCTGCTTCTAGCTGAAATAATCCATGATTAATAATGCTATAAAAATTAAGTTGTATTATAATTTTTACAGTCAAATTTATCAATATTAGTAGTACTATTTAATGAAAAACATGATGTTGTTTTTAACACCATAGATATACGCTTGAAATATTTTCCTATCGCTATAGTTTAAACTTTAAAAATTATTTCATTGGTTAAAACTTTACCAATTACAACGGCATCAGATGGAAGGTTTTTTTCGTTGCTCAAAAAAGTGAAGTTATATTTAAGCACTATCATAGATGATGAAAGATTAAACGATCTAATGGTACTTAATGTTGAAAAAGAAGAAGTTAACAAAATAAATCTAGAGTAAGTTGTAGATGTATTTGCTAATTGTATTTACAATTAATTAAAACTCACCGGTATCCATTTATATAAATTTAAATTCATTTTTTTTTCTGAACCCTTTGCTTTTATAAAAAGTTATAAGTATAAAAATAAACAACAATTAATAAATGTAGACATTCAGTCAGTACTTTTTTTTATTTGCTGCTAAATTTTTTCTCGTTTTTTTCTACATTTCCATCAATTATTGATCTTCAATGTTAAGGTAAAGTCACTTATTACAATTTAGTTTTAAAATTGATTTTTAATATTCATTTTGATTCAACGATTCGGCACATGATGAAATAATTGAAATCAGGATAATGTGCATATACGTATATCTATTTTTATTTGGCCTGGTGAAATTTCAAAACGGCCTGCTTAAAACTTTCCACACTTGAAAATAATCTTAAATTACGCACTTGAAATGATATAGGTTTGCGAAATGGAATTGTCTGCGATTCGAGTAGTAGATTTTAGGGAATACCTATATGTGAACCACATATTAAGTCCAAACTCGGTGTGTGCTGCGAGCCGTCGCGGTTGTTGCCGTGCGGTAATCAAAGTACATATAATGGCACGAACATGCGTTTCAAGCAAAAACTGTCTCAAAAGGTTGTAGAAGTTTTCAACTATTGGCGGAAACAGTAAATTACGAGTACGTTAGCGATTAGTTACTATGTATTTTATTATATTTCATTTTCTCAACGATCGTAACCGTAGTGTCAAAACCAGGCACATACGCGTAATATTAGGGTACAACAAATGCATTCAAACGTTTGCCATCAGACGTTAAAGGTCTGAGGAATGACGGTTTTGGTTACAGCTACGTGGTCACGCAACCATGGTGTAATAAAAACAGACGTCGCTGTGTACATGCACCAAAATCCAATAAAAGTACGGTGGCAATAAAAATTCCAATGGGGAATTTAAAACGGATGTATATAATATGTTTATAGACCGGAAATAGATAGTTTTCGTGTAATCAAATGCGTACGCTAGATGATTGTCTGGTTTCCCTTGATATTATTATACCCTTGTATAAATATAACTTATTTTAAGGGTTTCGAGAAACTATAACACCGCGTTAGTAAAGCAATATCTTCTGCAGAACACCATATTATATACGAAATATTATGCCAACATTTCGAATGATTATTGGCAACGCAATTTAAAAAATCAATCCATTTTTTCTTATTGTTATAGAGACTTAAAGTTGTACCTAAAAGATTATTATAATACAATTTAAGATAATAATGATCCAATGTTTTTGATCATTGTATTATTGCATGTGTCGAATAACTGTATCACTATTTTTTGACTAGAAGGAAGAAGAAAAAAAATAATCAATTATTACAGTTAGTTTCAATCTGTAATTACATTACGACTCATTATTATTATACTAATTATCTGAGAACGATTTTTTTTTATCAATCGGCTTAGGATAACTAAACATCACAACATCTATTCCATTACTATGATTAATTATATTAGTTTATAAATACAGATTTTCGATTTTTGATTGAAAATTAATACTTCATAATATCTATAACGTGACTGATATCGTTTCTATTAGTTACACTGTAAATCTAGAAATTAAAGCTAGAATTAGCTGTAAGACTAATAGTAGAAATACTTAATTTTAATACAATTATTCGAATAACCGAATAAGTACTTAGCTGAGATAGTTTGGTCATTTTATTCAGGGGATTTAGTATAGTATTTCAATTGTATTTCAATTTAGTAACGTCTGACACATGATTTTCCGACGTGACTTATTAATTTTTTGTGTGAACGCAAACATGAAAACTTATTTTCTCGTATTAATTACATTTCTTAATTGTATTTTCAACGCAGTCTATTTCGTCTTGATGGATATAATTAATGTGAATTATTATATTTTTGACTCTATATTTATTTCAACTTCATTTGTGTACACGCATATCATTGATATTATAACCTATAAGTATCTATGTTCATACTTCAAGAGGCACAGCAATAAATACACACGAATATAGGTTGAATAAAAATGATCGATTAGATTTAAGTATTCTTGTCGAATCCAAATGATTTGTACTCAATTTTATACTAACGCATGGCTAATTGCTGCGTCTGATATATAGGTACCTACATAAAAAAAAATTATGCTGCTATTTCGGATTTTCAACAGGTTTCATCGATAGAAGCTTAGATCATACGTCACACAGTGCTGATGCTGTAATAATGATGATTGTTCTTCTTGTTTATGATTTGTAATTATAATATCAGCTTCACCACTGGTTAGTTTTTGTTTAGATATTTCAAACACCGCTGATCGTTTTCCTTTTTATTTGTTCGTAATTCTTTGGCAGTGGATTTACCTTGATCACTAGAAATATATTGATCCTTTTTTAATTTCTGTAATTTTGATAAACTTTCTTGATTTTTTATATTTTACTATCCATTTTTCATGTTTCACTTTATTATTCAATATTTTTATATCATTGTTTTCATTGGGAATGTTCTGTCAAACGGTGTTGTTACTGTGAATTTTCTATTCGTTTAATATCTACCTATTATTCGCATTTATATTGCTCATAGAGTATATCTAATATAATATTACTTTTAATCTTTAAACATTTGCTATACTGATAACCATTTTAGATCCAAAGACTTTATACATATTTATTTTTATTTACAATGATAAAGTTATTCTGAGCAAAAAAATGAATGTTTTCGTTTTATAATTATTTTTTAAAATTATTTTTCGGTTTGTAAATATATATAAAGACTATTATGAATCTATGGATCGAATATTTGATATAGATAGTTCCATGAAAAGTTGATTTTTTGTTTTCTCAGTAGTTTTTTTTTTCCTAAGCAAGAAGAAATCTGAATAAAAATACATGGGAATCAAGTTTGATTTCGTTCCATAATTGTTTATTTTTATTTTCATGAAAATAATAGTTGTGTGTTATATGATTTGAAAATTGTACGAACGTTGGAAATCATAAGTGTTAGGCCAACGGCCATTATAATTTTTTAAAATAATTTTTTTTTTTATATTTTTGATGAAAAGATAATTGAACTTTATATATAAATAAATAAATATTTAGCCTGGGGTATTATCAAATTTGTAAAGTATGACTGTTTTCGAATTAAAAATTCATTATAAGGTATAGACAAAGTCAGTAAAATCACAATTGACTATGAAAAAATGAAGGAATACATTGAGAAAATGTAGTCGTTTTTGAAGTCAATAATTCTATATTGATTGCATTTAATGCTAGTTCATAACATTTTGTTTTTACTCGGTATTACATATATTTTTTCTATTATTCAACATTTGTTAAAATATACTTAATATATACTCAGAATCATTTTTTAATCGCCTTTAGAATATTGTAAATTAGAAATATTTTTATAGACTTATATTATGAAACGTAGTTTCAATTTCAGTTATTTGAAATATTAATGATGAAATGTATTTAGGTAAATAATGTATGGTATTAATAAATAAAACGGTTTTTATTATTTTAATTTACAGTTAGGCATAGAAAAGTTTAAGAATTAAGTTTATGTGAATTGTAAGGTTACTGATAAAAGAAGAGAAAAGTTACGCCAGGAAACTTGAACTAGATAAAGGTGTATTAGAAAATGTGCTTACCATAGAAAAAGTATAAAAATATTATATTTTTAATACGTAATGTTTTAAATTATATAGGTACTTAAATTAGATGTTTTTATACTAAATGTATTCACATGGTCAGATAATAAAACTTAATATTTATTAATTTATTATTGTTGTTGGAAATACTGTAGATATTTCAAGCAAGCCATTAAAATGATTTAAAAAATTAATTTCAATTTTATTTTAGAATCGGTATAAAAAAAAGCAAACATATTTTATACATTTTAAGGTTGTTTTACATTATGTTATTCTTTATGTTTTTTTCTCATACATGTTGAAGGAATTTAATCAGCAGACGAAATATTATTGTTCCTCATAGAAAGGGTTATAATATTTAATTTTTGTGCTGTAATAGTTGTATTAAAGATAAAATGTAATCCAATGAGTTATAAGTTAATAAAAATAACATTAAAATGGTTAAATTTATAAGTATAAGTATTCTATAATTATTTCATCATCATTATTTTTATTATAATAATGTTTATTAAAGCATTTCAATATACAACTTATAGTTTATTTTAACTGAATTTTTATGTATCATGCTTTTGTTGATTATGATGAACTAAGCAAAACTATATTTTTCATTATTTCTTGAATGTCTCTAATAGTGAATTATACGTTTATTTTCTGGTATAATTATTTTATTGTTATCTCACAAAATAGAATTTTATAATAAAAATTGTTGACTAAAAATTAAAACATTAAATAAAAACATTATTTTTACATTAATATTAATATTAATGTGTTTTTATAATTTTGTTAAAGTGTTCATTATCGTATTAAGATTTTTCTTAAAAGAACTCTAAGTATGATTTTGTTTTACGTTGTAAATATTATGAATAATTACCTGGATGTACTGGATGCTACGCTATTGTTAGACTTCGATCTCCGGCTTTTCAGCGAATCTCCTCTGTTGATAATTCCTTTTCCGGTGATTGAAAACTGACGTATCCGGTAATACTCTTCTTCGACGCCTGTGTTCGGCATACTGGCTACTCTAGACCTTTGTTGCGGCAAGGTAAGTTGGTTGGATCGGTTTTTAGGTATGCCATTGGGACCCAGTTGTAACTGTACCGTACTTTTGCTGCCGGGTGTCCGCACACTTTGCGATCGGCTGTGGTGTGGACTTCCGTATCTATTTAATAAACAACATGAAGGGTTCGTTAAGATAATTAACACAATAATATCGGACAAAATAATAATATAAACTAACGATAGTAATATTTTATGTTAATTAAAATTTATTTGAACGTTATATCAACCAATGGTTTATTAACATTATATGATTCCTTTATAATGCTATCGTATAAAATACAATATTTATCATATAGTTAATGGTTTTTCAAAATACATTTGAATAACATTTATTTGTCCGAATATGAAGCCTTCTTTGCGTTTTCTATTTTTTTTATGTTCTTCATAACAAATTCCACTGACAATGTTTGTTGGTATTCAGTTTCTTTTTCGTATTTCCAATAGTTTTTTTTTCATTATGCTGACATCGAGCCAACGTATCCATAGAAGCTTAAGCGAAAAAAAAGTTATCTATTGTATCGGAGTTGTTGTATACACATAAACCATACTTAGTGGAATAAATGAACGCAGATATACTCGTATACTGAAAATCATCAAAGCAAGATGATATAATATGAATGGTCACATTTTAAGGCATGAATATGAACTATTTTATAAAATAATAGAAGGACAAATTAAAGGTAAAAGAGACCGATGATGTCTAAGAATTTAATTTGTTGAACAAATGACTCCCTCTGATGATAGACTATAAAGCTACACAAAATTTAAGAGGTTAGTTGGAAACACGGAAGAGTGGAGAGTGCATATCTAACTAATAGACCACTCTTAAGGTTGAATACAAAAAGAAGAGTAATATTATAATAATTTTTACTTAATTTAAAATGTTACTTAATTCAATAACTTGGAAAATTTTAATATTATAATTTAGTTTTAATATAAGTACAAGTTATATATTATATTATAATTATGATAAATATTAGTATTACTGATATAATATTGTAGGGACATGATTACCAATAGATGATTTTCTTATAATGCTACTCTTGCCATTTTAATAGTATTGACCTTAAATTTAATAATAACGGTTTTATACATATTATTGAAAATTGTATAAAGAAAATATTAGTTTTTATAATATTTTTAGAAATCTTAGTATGAATAACACTTAGCTGTATTAAGTAATGTATTGTTATTATTTAAACAAAACTATTATGCAAAATAACGATTATAATGCAGAAAAGCAATATACTACTAATCATTTCAATGAACATGGAAATCTATGATGAAATTAAAATAATTAACAAACCAATTTCGAGTACACATTTACATATATATTAGAGAAAATTATGGTAACAAGAATCTAAATAAGACAATAATATCGATGTTTTAGTTATATTTAGAACAAAAATTAAATAAATCGCTAATTTAGCCAGTCTTATCCATTAAAAAAAGAAAAATGTAATTTATTCGAAATAAAATATTTAAAATATTATGAAAAAAAAAAAAATCGAATAGATTTAAAATTGTATATACAATACCACAGAGTTATTAAAATGAAGTTCTTGCAAGTAATATTGAGAAGGTTATTCGAATAATGTCTTGAAAAACCCTTTACTTTTTACTATGAATTACATAAGGATGAACACTGAATACTACTTATTATTACTTGGTATTACTTTAGTATTTAAAAACCTTTTTTAAAAAGTTCATTCTTGTTTTATGTATTTATTTGTATTATCTTTGGATTTTTTTTTAAAACTATAAAAATGCCGAGGAAAATATTTCATGTAATATTATATTATTTCTAGGTTTAACTAAACGAAAATGTTATCTTCAAAATATCATATATTTTAGTATTAAATAAACAGATAAGTGGAAAGGGTTGGTTTTAATTTACTTAAAGTATAAAAGTAATTCTCCCATCATTTGGTTGTTCAGTAAAATTATATAGTAGTTACCTATTTATATAGGTTTTTACTATATAAGTTAATGGTTATGTGGTTTGTTTTATTTTAGGTCACTTGTAAATCTTGTAAAAATTGTAAATGTTTCTATTTACTAATTACATTGAAAACCTTTTCGATGAAACACTAATGTTATAAAATATAACTTTATTTTGCTTAGTACATAAAATTAAATTTTAATCAGTCAAAAAATGTTAAAGGTCAATTAAATGTCATTTAATAAATGTGTTAATAATATTGCTTGTGTTAAAAAAATACAAGTAAATATTAATATTTTTAATGTTGTTTATAATAATTTAAATGCTTGTAAAAATATAATATTCATAATATGTTTAAAAAGCTTAATAGTAGTTCTATAATGTTACAAAAGTAATTTGCTGCTTAACCAACTATTTCAGTGAAGTTGTTTAAAATAATAGTATTTTTTATAAAAATTTGAAAACAATATCCTTCGTAATGTCTAAATATTTCATATATAAGTATTGGATGTTTTTATCTTTATTATGCTTTTAACATTCATTAGTTTAGTTATACTTATTGTACATATACTTGCAGTTTTTTTCAATTTCATGTATTTATGACAATCGATTACACTGAAAATTTGATTATACACTGGATTAGATAGTTAAACAAAGCAGTGAGTTTATTTTCAGAGAAAATCATTTAATATATTATTTTACTTAAAATATTTGAAATAAACTTTAAATTTAGTTAATCACTTTTTAAAATAATAAAAATCGTATTCATTTATAAAAACTTATGACGGTAATTTAGTTTTTAATTTGATCAAATTTTACATTGATCTTTCATTTGTTATATTAATCGCAAATGTTATATTTTTGTTCATATAACTTTTGTAAATTAAAATGATTCTGATCTTTAACTGAATAATTCTGGTCTTTAACTGAAAATGTAGTATATATATTTTTTCCACTTTGTTTTTTTATTGCAGAGTAAAGTAATTGAAGTTTAATAATTTTGACTCTCTTAAAATGAAATTTAAATTCAATTTACGATCAATTTTATATGATGCCTCAAAATACTTTTAAAGCACTTTTTATGGTATTACTTTACTAAACCATGATTTTCAAAAAAAAAAAAAATAAAAATAAATAAATATATAAATAAGTAAATAAATATATAAATAAATAAATAAACCTATCATTGAAAAAATCAATATTTCTTTAGAAAATTATATCAATATATAATATAATTTTAATATATATTTATACTTTTATATATATAAGTACATTGTTTTTTATATTATACGTTATAGATGTTTGTATATTTTTTTAAATGTTTTTATAAAAAAATAGATATAAAATTCTTATTTATTAATAATAAGCATTTATGGAAACAAATTAGCAGTTATACTTATACAACTACTATACTACTATAACTAACTACTTCTATACTTATTATTATCCTAATAGCAAGATTATTAATTATATCAAATGAATGATATTATACCAATACATTTCATTTTTGATTATTTTATTGAAACGCTATAATCAAAATAATCAAAATAATGCACTTGGTGTTAATTACATCTAAATAAAATAGTATTCCATTTTATTTTTCATAACTCTATTTTTCATTGAATATGATAGTTTGTTTCCGTTGGAAAAACTATTTCCTTTCAATTGAATCCACTATTAAATCGAGAATATAGTTTAACCACATCTTTATTCGTTTTATCTAGAGATTTAAAACTTTTACAATGACCCTGTCACTATTTCTTATTGACAAACGCAATCCCATGAGAATATTGAGTTGTACACAAAGCGCCAAATAGAAATAAAAACCTCCAAAAATCGAATAACTGAGGAAATTTGTTTTTATCCATTTTGTTGTATAAAGCGAAACATCCAGTAAAGTAAAATTCGGATGGTTTTTACTCTAAGGAATATGATGTAACAAACAAATGGATAACATAATTAATGATGTTTGGGGGGGGGGGGGATTAAAAAAAAATTAAACATCTACAAGGCGAGCATCAGACGTTATTGTTGCGAACAAAAATCCGTCCGTTGTAGAGAGTTCTGTATTCTATGAGGTATGTATATGTTTTGATTGCGAATGGAAGTATTAAGTATTATTCGTCGATATATAATATACACGTAGTTAATTATATAACATAATGTGATTGTACATCGGATGACGGCGTGATTGTATAGCATTTTATGTATAAACGTGGAAACGGTTTAGCACTAAATTATGAAACAGCACAATTTATATATCAATTTTATTCCATCGGTTAGTGTACACGCGTTTACCGCTAAATAGTTTCCTTGCACCGAGAAATTGACAGGCATCGGCCATCCAAGCAGGGATAAGTTTGATAGGAAAAAGTTCATTCACGTACAAAGCCTTGCAGAATTAATATATTGCATCCATTAACTGATCGCTGAGCTGAAAAAAGAAGGCGTTTCCGTATTCATTCGAACCTGTCGTATTATATAATAAAACCTCCGACACTGCCGCCGCCACGGGCACCTTGAATATTGGCTCTTTGTTCGTTAACGAGAGCAAATAATAACGCCGTACATGTAAAGTAATAATAAAGAAAAGTGTTTCGGTCCGACTTTCCGAATTATATTTATATATGGTGTACACAGGGTGATTTATTTTATGCAATATTTGAAACATATTCAACATATATAATGTATATAGTGCCATAGACGAATCGCCCTGTATAAGAAATATATGCATTCACGTATATGAATTCACTTGAGTACGATGCATGGACATGTTTACGAGTCTACATGCTGTCAAAGGCGTTCGACATTTATTAGAAAGTTTTTTTTTTTTTTTGATTTACCACATTGCTGACATATTCAATACTTAAGGGTGGACAGTGTTGTGTCATTTTAGTCTTGTTCTGTAAACAAGATTTGCTTCTCGTATGAAACATAATAATTCATTATTCCATAGAAAGTAATTGAAACGCCGATACTTTTAATATTCGATGGATTTAATGGGTTTCGGAAGTGACGAAAGCTCAGTATCCAGGAAAATATTTTCATTTTTATCAATAAAATGTATCTTCTAACAATAAAAAAGACATAAAACAACCGGATTAAGTATAATTTATTATTTTGTCCTTACTCATACATTTTATGTGAACTATTAAAGC